GGGGGACACGTGGCCAGAGAGCAGGAGGCCTCACAGGAGCCTGGACAAGGCCCTGAGCAGGCTGGGGGAGCGGCCGGCTGACGCGCGGGGCCGGACCCCCGTGTTCGTTTCTCTGGTTTCCTCCTTGGGGTGTTGCAGAGAATGTGTGGTGTGCCCTGGGCACTGGGCGCGGACAGAGACACGCGTGGCATTTCTGTGCCGTGTCAGTGGGACAGATGCTGCCCCAGCATCGCTAATTATGCACCTGCTGTATGCTTTGTGGCACCAGCCGGGGACCGAGGGTAGGTTTGGTGCCTGCAGTGGGCACCAGGCTCGGTTGGGTTTGTGACCAGAGGCTGCAGAAGCACTAGGCCTGGAAGGCAGGCCTTCCTACTTGTGGCCGTATGCCCAGACACCTCACATCTAGCCAGGACCTTGGAGAGGAGCAGGTGCTCAGGTTGTGACATAGGGACTGGGGACAGGTAGGGACAATGCTCAGCCACCCAGGATAGAAGGCATAGAGCCCTTCCCATGCCCAGAGGGATCGCACCCCCCGCCCCTGCTAAGCCTCGTGCTGGGCCTTCTGGGCTCCTGACACCCCCGCGTTCTCTGCAGGAGTCTGTGCCTGCCGGAGCGAGGACCCACCTCTGGTGAGTTTCCTTTTCCTTCTGGAAATCGGCTGGGGGCAGGCCGGGCTAGTGCATTCCAGGGGTGAGTAACCTCAGGAGCAGCCACACTTGTCCCCAACCATGTTGCCTAATTGGAGCGTGGGTACCCCGCCCCTGGGACCGGCCATGGGGCAGAGGCCCTGCTTGGTGGTAAATGTGCTTGTGTGCACACGTATATGCTTGTGTGTGCGTCTGCGTGTGTGTCTGTGTGTGCGCCTGCGTGCGTGATGTCTGCGTGTGCGTATGCGTGCATCTGCGGTGTGCGTGCGTGTCTGCGTGCTCGTCCGCGTGCGTCTGCATGTGTCTGCGTGCCTGTCTGTGTGCGTGTGTGCATGTGTGTGTGCGTGTGTGCGTGAACGTCTGCGTGCGCCCGTGTTACGCACCTGCACATGCCAGCTATGTGTGCGCCTGCGTGTGCGCCGGCCACTCGGAGAGCGCTGACCCCTCCTTCCCTCTGCCCCTAAGAAGCAGGGCCCCTCCCCGGGGCCTGTGTTCTCCGTGGTGGACTACGGGGAGCTGGACTTCCAGTGGCGAGAGAAGACCCCGGAGCCCTCGGGACCCTGTGTCCCTGAGCTGCCACCACCGACGACGGAGTACGCCACCATCGTCTTTCCCAGCTTACCGGGTTCCCCCAGCCGCAGGGCCTCAGCTGACAGCCCACAAGGGCCCCGGCCTCTGAGGCCTGAGGACGGACACTGCTCTTGGCCCCTCTGACAGCTTCCTCCCCAGCCCACACCCCCTGCCCAGAGCAGAGCCGGTGCGGAGGGGCAGACCGTGGGGAGAGGAGCAGGGACTGCGTGGAGCCGAGCCCTGTCGGGGGACACTCCTGCACCATGCCAGCCCCGCCTGGCTCTCTCGTTAGTGCTTGCGGGGACCTGGACGCAAGAGGGAACACTGTCCCCTCCGGGAGAGGAGAGGAGGCTGCCCGGATGCCAGGCCCAGACCTGGACGGGGCTGGCCGAAGTCTCCCTCCTGAACTGCTGCTCTGCCTTCACCCTGCCCTCCCCGCGGGGGGTGGGGGCGTTAGCGTCACCGAGACCCTGCTGCCCCCAGGGAGCCTGGTGCCTGGCCGTGGGGGTGGGTCCTGCTGGAAGGCTCTGCCGTGGGGCGGCCGGCGAGGTGCTGCCACAGCGAGGAGAGCCAGCAAGTGCCCAGAGGCGGACGGGGGATGCACAGGGTAGGGAACCCCAAGCCTGCGAAGAGCTCCTGGGGGGCGGGTAGGGCAGCACCCCCAGGTGCCTCCTCCTCGGCATCTGTTCATGGTGCTATTCAAAGGGGCCTCAGGGGGATCCTGCCTGGGGTGCTGGGTGGGTGGAAGTGTGCCCTTAGCCGGCACCCCCTGGCCAGGCCTGTCACTCCTCACCAGCCTCACACCAGACATTGGCTGTCCAGGGCAGTGAGGCTGGTGGGCACCCGCCGTGGGAACTCAAAAACGCACGTCCCTCATGGGCCCCACACACTTCGAGGCCCCTCCCCTTTCCACTATATTATATTAAATGATGATGAAGCTCTAAGAAAGGCCCCAGTTCTCTCCTGCCCTGCCGTTGCTGGGGGTGGTAGGTGGAGGATTCTGCCCCCCTCCCCCACTATCCTGGGAACACGGAGGCCTCTCTGCCGCCAAACTCACACCCTCTGACTTCAGGTGGCCGCTGGGCATCACCCCCTACAAGCCCTCCGGAACTTCACACCCCAAGGTCTCACTGCCCCAACCCCAGACCACCTCAGCCTGGCAGAGGTGCCCCCATGTCTGCCCTGCTCCAGCTCCCATGAGCCCCCACTCACCGGGGTCCTTCTTGGACAGCGTATGGGCCCAGGGTGGGCGCCGGCCAGGCGGGTGGGAAGGCTGCAGCAGCTACCAGTGAGTGGGTGCCAGGGTACAGCACCTGTGGGAAATGCAGTCCCTCCCCTTGCAAAGGGACACAATGTGCGGTCCCTGACTTCAATGACAGACACCCCCCAACCTCCCGCTTCTCGGTGAGCCTCGTCCAGGCCCCGCCTGCTGCCCCGCCCTCTGAGCTCATAGCCTGTTCACCCCGACACCTGGTTCTGTTCTGGAGCCACCGCCTCCAGGACCAGGCAAGGGTTCCAGACAAGGTCGTGCATCAGAGGGGACGCCGCTCGGGAGTCTGCAGGTGATGCGGTTTTGCCTGGAAAACCCAGTGGGTTTTGTGGGAAAACTAGTAAGCAACAAGAAATTCTAGGCAAGTGGCAGATACAAAGTCAGCATCCCGAAGTGAAGGGCTGTCATGGATTCAAACACTAACCAGTTAGCAGCAGTGGCAGAGAATGTTTCCTCTACGACGGAACAGGAAAGACCAAACGCTGAGGCGCAAGCTTAGTGAGACGCAGACCACGGGAGGAGAGCTCAGTGTGGCCCGCCTGACGGGAACACACGCCCGGGCCGGGGCGACTCGACACCCTCGAGACGTCAGTCCTTCCTGAGTGCATTTATACATTTAACAGCATCTCAGCAAAAACCCACTTATCTGAACTGTAAAGTTCACGTGGAAAATGAGCAGGGTCTAGCTAAGAACACCGTGAAGAGAAAGTGAAAGGCCAGCTTTATCAGATCGAAGCTCGGGCGGTTAGTGCAATGGGATGAGCTCATGGAAAGGGACGGGGACGGGACAGACCCGACTGCAGGGCGGGTGGACTGTTTAACAAGTGGCGTGGGCCACGCAGCCGCTGGAGAGGCACTGTGGCGGCCTCCGCGTGCCGCGCACCTGCAGAGAGCCCACGCGCTGCCGGGAGCCCAGGATCCCATACAAAGGCCCCCAGGACACGAGGAAACGCAGAGACCCCTCCTCACACTGGCTCAGAACTGAGGTGCAGGAGAGACAAGCCCCTCAGCCGTGTCAGTCGGGGGAGCAGTCAGCACGGCAACAGCATCACACAGACAGGGACGGCGTGTGCAACTCCACACGGACCACAGCTCGAGGGACAGACATTCTAGAAGCGTAGAGAGAGCAGGTCAGAGGTGCAGTGGAAAAGTGAGCAGAGATGTGGCCAGACAGTTCACGCGTGTGCACACACACTCATGTGCACATGTATTATCCACATATTCCTTAAGCAACGAAAAGATGTTCAATTTTACTCACAGTAAGAAAAATGTAGATTACAATGGCATCTGGCAAACCCTAACGGCACTGCTGGTGGACGTGCCAAACTGGAGGACCGGGTGGCACCGAGCAGTTAGCGGAGCATCTGCCCTTTGACCCATGAACTCCACTTGAAATATCTCACAGGGGTGACCAGCAAAAATGTGAACCGCACTCAGGCTGGCTGTGCTGGGGCCGCAGTCACAGGAGCCGCAGGGGCTGGTCTCAGACACTGGGGGACGTCTGCTCCTCGGGCCGATGACCGTGGCCAGCTGTGTGGGGTGTATGCAGGAAGGACCAGACAACTCACTGCCCCCAAAGGCGAGGGACCAAGCTGGGGCCCTGTCACAGAATGAGGGAACAATTTGTGCATCAAAACTACCAAAATTTAAAAAAATCCAGTTGGTTATCACATTTAGAGCATGTTAAAAGAGTATGAGTTCATACTGATAAAAAAAAAAGTGCACGCAGCAGAGGGGAGGAAGCGGTGGCCTCTCAGCGAGCCCTGGCTGGTGTGCGGCCGCCGCTGGCGGCCTGGAGATAAGAAACGAGCGGACACAGTCAGCACTTTGCGCTCGCCTTCCCGTAAGCGCCGCTGCACCTGCCTCCACTCACTTTTTCCGTCCCCTTCTCGGCCCCAGCTGCATGTGTCATGGCCCTGGCTGGGGCGGCTCCCCACCCCCGCCCACACCCGCTGCCGCAGGTCTGTCCCTGTGTGTCTGCGCAACTCCCTGAGCGCGGCTTTGGAGGCCAGGTGCGGCTGGGTCACAGGGCTTCCCCCAGGCCTGGGCTTCCTGAGTGAGGCCTGAGACCCCGGCTGGTGGGCCAGGGGGGGAGGCGGATGGCTGTGCGGCAGCCGGGGTCCACCGGGCTCTGGTTCTGTGCCCCGGAGTCTCCCACCGCCCATGGGGCCGGTGTCTGTGGCTCCTGAGCCCACTGACACGCTGTGGGCCGGGGTGTGGGCGTCCCTTAAGCTCTCGGCTCTCGCATGGGGGGCACCCTGGGCTCGTGGCTCGTCAGGGGCGCATCGAGAGCCTGGGAGGGTGGGTCCCCGCTTTGTCTAAACTCCTCGAGCACTCGGCGGCTTCCCCGCCCTTCGGACTCCTCGCAGGAGGGGTCCCAGCCCTGCCCCAGGTCCCGGACTCTGCTCTCATGGGACTTTGGGCAAAACGGAGCCCGCAGCAGGGGTGGGAGCTGCCCGGGCACTCGAGCGCCAGGCTGGGCACCAGTTCATAGCTGTTTCGTGGTCTGTTCTTATCTCAGTCTGAATTCCAAAACTAAATTATCGCATGGACTATTGACCATTGTATTATTACCTTTCAAAGGTTTGTACATCAATGGCAGCACCCACGGCGCCCTGGAGGGGTGAGGGTGGCGGCTGTGGTGTAGACACAGTGTCATTCAGCCTGGAAAAGGGAGGCCGTTCTGACACCTGCTGCCACATGAAGGAACCTCGAGAAGGTGTGATCAGTGAAATCAGCCAGACACAGAAGGACCCAGCCCTGCGAGGTCCCCACAGGAGTCAGATTCACAGACAGAGTAGATGGTGGGAGCCCGGGGCTGGGGGGCAGGAGGCAGTGTTTGATGGGAGCAGTTTGGAAAGCTGAGTTCTGGCCTAGGAGGTCAGTTGCTGAGCTGCAGGGACTGGTCAGGACACCTGCCTGACCCCTGCACCAGGTGCAGCAGCGGAATGGCTCCTGTGGGCTTGTGGTCCTGGCAGCCACCAACCCCGCAGATGTACAGAAGGGGCCAGGCCGCGGAGAGGCCCCCGCGCCTGCAAGTGTCCTCTGGAGGAACCTGTGTGTGGAGATTGGTTTTAAAGAACTGGCTCCCGCGACCGGCAAGTCGGTGGGCCAGGGCCCCAGGGACGAGCTGGTGTTGCAGCTGGAGCCCGAAACACCGGGAGGCAGACATCCCTGTTCTGCAGGACCCGAGTCTTTGCTCCTAACCTCAACTGATTGGGTGAGGCCCACCACATCATGGAGGCTCATGTTTTACTCAAAATCTGCTGACTTAAATGTTCATCTGATCTTTAAAGAAAACGTTACAGAAACTTGTAGACTGGCATTTGACCAAACATCTGAGTACTGTGACCTAGCCAAGCTGACGCATACGATGAACCACCACAGCATCTACAGGCCAAGGTAAGTGTGGGCGGAACCCAGAGCCGCCACACATTCAAATCTACAGGCTAATGAGGGCAGCTGGGCCTCCCCACAGCCAGGGCAGGGCCCTGCGCCCCACCCCTGCCCCGAGGCCAGGCCGTGCGGTCGGGGCCAGGGCCTGAAGGACGACATCTTGGTGTCTTCCTCGTTTGGGCGACTGCGGATAAAGCTGCCACAAACAGCCATGCGCGGGTCTCCGTGTGGACAGAGGTCTTCACGCCCTTCGGGTGAACCCCGAGGAGTGCGATGCTGGATCGTACGGCGAATCTGTGTCGTTTTGTGGCAACCGCCCAACCGTCTTCCCCAGAGGCTGCACCGTGTGTGTCCTCCAGCCTGAGTGGGGTTTCCTGCTGCTCGGCCCTCGTCAGCACGGGGCGGTGTCAGGGTTGAGATTTCCGTCATTCCAGTAAGTGCTCAGTGGCGTCTCATGGTCGTTTTACTCTGCGTTTCCCCGATGACATAGGATGCGAGCGTCTTTTCATATGCACTTGCAAAATGTACAAATAACTCTTAAAACTCACCAATAGAAACAAGCAACCCATTTAAAAACTAGGCAAAGATCTGGACACCTCGCCAGAGAAGACACACAGATGGCACAGCCGCGCTGGTGGACGGTTCGGCCGTTTCTTACAGAGTGAGACGATCAGAAACGATTTCTCCCAGGCTGTGGCTCGTCTTTCCATGCGCTTCATGTGTCGGTCGTGTCAGCTCTCGGCAGCAAATTTTCCTTCCTGGACCTGCTTTCGGTGTCATATTAGTGCACTTCGGGAACTTTACTTCCTATAAAGTGCCTAATTCCTGGGCTCTTTGATAGCTCCTGCTCCCCGTGGCCGTCACGGCCCTGCGTTCACAGGGACACGCGACGGATGCTCCTTCCTCCTTAATGCTCGGCAGAACCCACTAGGAAAGACGCGCACACCTGGAACTTCCCTAGCGTGCAGATTTTAAATTATGGATTCAATTTCTTTAATAGGACATTCCAGATTTTCTATTTTATCTTGCGTCAGTTCTAATAAGTCATATTTTCCCCCAAATTATCCATTTCATCTCAATTTTCAAGTTTACTGGCATAAAACAGCCCCTCGAGTCCCCCGATCATGCCCTTCTCGCCCCCGGCGCTGTTTGTTTGTTTCTTTCTTGCCTTCGCGATCGGCCTCATCGGGAGTTTATCAGCTTCATCCATCTCTCCACAGGCTGATGCTGGGCTTTGCTTCTTCCCCCGTGTGTCCCCCGCCCCCGGCTCTCTTTGTCCCAGGGTGCTGTGCCTTCGGCGCTTCACGGGAGCAGTGGCTCGGCCTCCCCTCCGACGCTGGCTCCCACATCATACTCTAGTTTTATGTGTAATTGCAAAATCTTTTCTCGTTTCTACGATGACTTCTTCTTTGCGCCACGAGTTATTTGGAGCTGTGTTTCTTAATTCTCAGACACATGAAGATGTCTAATTACCCTTCGTTTTTATTTCTAGCTCAATTTCACTGTAATTTTCGATCCTCGAAGTCTCTGGGGACTCGGCTTTGAGATCCAACACGTCCGTCTTCGTATCTGAGTGTACTGGGCAGACTGTCCCTCCGGCCGCGGTTTCCTGCAGTGTCGACGTGGCCAGACCTGCTCTGTCCCTAGACGCCTGCTCGGTCAGTCGCCGAGAGACTCGTGTCTAAAACCTGCTGCTCTCCTGTGGGTCTGCTTTCCCCAACACGTCAGCCCACTTCCGTTTCCTATTTTGGAGTGTAATGTCAGGTACACACAAATCTAAAAGTGCTGGGATTCTCCACCGAATCAAACGTCGGTGATTTTGAAACGCGCTCCCTCATCTCTGGTCACGCGCTGGCCTCGCGGTCTCTGCCTGGTGGAAACGCAGCTCACCAGCTGCTCACGGTCCACTCTTCCCCGCTGACCTTCGACCTTTCCGTTTCGCTTTATCTCGCCTCTGCCAGCGGGGTTCCGCTGGGTTCGGGGTAGGGTTCGTCATTGTCATTTTGCTTTCTGCCATGACCATTTTTGTCTCTTAAGTGGGATGTTAGCCAGTTTACATTAATGGGGTCTGATTCAATCGGCTGTCTTAATATTCGCTTTCTGTTTATCTTACCAGTTCTGTGTATATTTTCTCTGATTCTTTGCCTTTTTGAACTGAGCACGTTCTGTTTCTCCATTTGTCATCTCTGCTAATTTGGTGACCCTACAATTTAGCTATTCTTTTAGCGTTTGCCCTCAAGATCACAGCAGGCATCCTCTGCCTACGTGAATGGGTGCGTCCACCTCTCCTCGGACAGCGCAAGGACCTCAGGACACTTCCGTGCCCCTTGCCATTCTGACTCTGCTCTTACGTCGATGCGTGGCTGACACCCCACGGACACCTGTTTACAGCCAGGACCCACCCGCACCTGCCAGCATCTGCTCTTGCTGTGCTTCTCCGTCCGACTCTCCACGCTCCACCACCCTTCCCCTCAAAGGATGAGCTTCCACGTCCCGTCAGTGAGTCTGCTGGTGACAGGGTAAGTCACTTTTGTTCACTGGAGAATGTCACTATATTTTTCCCTTCATTCTTGAATAATATTTTTGCTGGGCGCAGAATTCTAGGTTGGTGGCTATTTTCTCTCAGCTTTCCGAAGAGACCACCCCCAGTTTTCCAGTTTGGTAAGAAGTTTCCAGTTTCTGGTAAGAAGTCGGCTCCTGGCCCACGTGCCGCCCCTTCTGAGGTGACGTCTCCTGGGCTCGCCCTAGGGTGCCTCCCCCGCTTCGACCCCATCGGTTCTACTACAACGTGCTCAGCTGTGCTTTTCTTTTTTATTCTGCTTGCGGCCGTGGGTGGCCACAGGCATCTCTGTGCCAAACTGTCCAAACCCAGGTGTGGCCGCCACCCCTGCCAATACCCAGAAAGGGCGGAGGGCCAGCACGCCGTGCAAGCCTTCTCCCTGCGGAGGCGTCACTGCCACCACCCACCAACCCAGAGGAGGGGACAGGCTCTGAGCAGGTAGAAGCTGGGGCTGGAGCCAGGACTTCCGACTACATAGTTCACGTCATGCTGCGTCTTCACAGGTGTCACTTGAAAGTCCCTGTTTAGCTTGGGTACCCTGGAAGACCCCCGGGGAGCTGCCTCCTCCCCGCCCACAGGACCTGCCCGGTGTGGGCAGTGCTCCCCGCTCCCCCAGTCCCAAGCCATTCCTGACAGACGGCCGTCTGAAGATAGATGACGACAACCCCACCTCATTACAACTTTGTTCTTGGTGCCGTCCTGAGCGGCCCACGACCCAGAGCTCAGTTATTTTCTCTTTCTTCTCCGCTACAGATGCCACCTGGTAAGGACCCCCTCCCAGGTCCCGTCGGCTGGAACCTCCCAGAACTCTGTTTTCTGGCGAGGAGGAGGGAGTTAGCAGCCACGGCGGGCAGGGCCAGGGTCCCACTGCTCAGTCACGAAGCTCGCGCTCACTCTCTCCAACTACCGCGAGGACTGGAAGGAGGGTCAGCGAAAGCTCCCGGCCATCCAGGAAATGCATGATGGGCCACCGGCTACCCATCGAATTGGAAAAGAGGTAAGAAAAGGTAGAGAATACACAACGCTGACTAGTGTGCCCCAAAAAGCCTTCTCATACGTGACCGATGGGCTTTTCCTTTGGGGAAAAGTCTCTCATCTATTACAATAAATGTTACAGAGGCCTTCACTCAGCGCCCACATTCGGGGATCTGTCCTGCAGAATCCAAGTCTGTTTGTCAGGACAGATGTGCAGGGGTGTGCGCCGCAGCCTTGTTCGCAGTGGCAATACTGATAATAATTCATGACGATAATAAACAACGGACACAGGGTGACTATCCCTCACCAAGGACCTTGGCCAGGTCACGGTGCCACATCGAGTGTCGTTAAGTCAGGGAGGGAGTCGGAGCGAGGCTGTGCTCGGCCGGGCTTAGAAGGAGGCAGGCCCTGGACGGGGGTTTGCGGGCGGGAGGCCTCGGGGGCAGCGCCTGAGGGTCGAGGGAACAAGCTGTGAGCCATGAGCCCTCAGCAGACGAAGGGGACCAGCCCCTTCAGCCTCGTCTGAGGGGGACATCCTGGCCGAGCACGAGGGCGTCACGTCCACGCTGCTCACGGGGCACCAGGAAAGGTGCATGCTGTCACCTCAGGGCCACGGGGAGAGGGCTGGTCTCACTAGTCAGGACAAGGACTGTAGTTTTTTAATCACAGAAGTGGAAAACACTTGGCATGGATGTGGAAACCGTCAGACAGATTGCAAGCTGCTTCCTGCTCCAAAATCGTGAGCCCATCGGCCAATCTCAGCCTCCATTTCCACCTCTGGAAAATGGAAGCAGTACGCACCTCACGGGGCCCGACTCAGCGCCATGAGACACGGAGAGCGTGCGGCAGACGGGAGGCCTCTGTCCCTAGAACCTCCCCCCTGTGGCGGTGTGAGAACCAGCCCCTGCCTGGGGGTCCGTGTGGGTGGACGGAGGACGGGCCCCAGCGGAGGGAGCCGAAGGGCCACGCACATGGCGTCCTCCTCCCCAGAAGCCCGGCATCGAGGTGTCGCAGGGGTGCACCCCCTGAACCCTCCGGGGAGCGTCCTTCCTGCCTCCTCAGTTTGTTGGGGGGCAGGTGTCCCTGGCTTGTGGCAAAATCACTCTTGAGGTGTCTTCTCCCCGAATGTCCTTTCCTGTCCCTTGTAAGGACCTGCCCTCGCCTCATCTTAATCACAACTGCAAGGACCTTCTCCCCAAGTATGTCGCAATCTGAGGCTCGGAGTGGACATGAACTTGGGGGACGTTACTCACCCAGTCTAAAAGCGAACGACAGGACAGGAGCCGCACGCGCCTGAGCGCCGCACCTGCCGAAAGCCCCCACCTCCGGCCCATCGTCGCTGGCTTCTCTGGTTTAGATTTTCGAACAGAACAGCCACACCAGCTGCTGCCCAGAGCCCCGGCCAGCCACTGTCCTCGCAGGGGGCGGGGCCGAGGGTGAAGCACGTAGGGTCACCAGTGCCAGGTCGCAGAGCAGGGACCTGGTGAAGAAATCACTCTCGGGAGCCACTGCAGGCAGCTGACCGAGGGCAGCAGACAAGGGTTGCTGGTGCTGAGACACAGCTGCGTCCCCCGAGAAGAGACGGTGGGGGGCAGGCGCGCCAGGACCCGAGCCGGGGCTGCAGGAGCCACGTGCGCACGGCCGCTTTGGTTTCTCTTTACGGTTTCCTACGTATCTCAAGCTTCCTACAATGCGCATGTTTTATTTCTATAACCAGAAATGAAGACTTTGAAAAGGAGAAGAAACAGACGTCTTGGTGGGGGGGCAGGGCCCGGGAGGTGACCCTTCGCGGTTCTCGCGCCTGCTCCCCTGGCCGGAAGCCGGGGGACAGGCAAGGCAGCCCTCTGCAGACCGCAGACACTCCTGGGACGCTGTGCGGAATCCCCCTTCCTGTCGGCGTCCTGCCCCATCTCTGACAGCCGCTGGGAGGGAGTGGCCGGGTGGGCGGGCGGTCACGGTCAAGGTCATGGTCACAGTGAGCTAGCCCTGGTCAACCCCCAGGACTCTGACGGGGGCGGAGCTCAGGAGAAAATACCCTCCATCTCCTGTTCAGGCACCAGGGAGCAGAGTGAGGGCCTCGGTGCCGATGTAAAGTCATCCAGGGTCACACTCGCCCACGTCCACCTGCTGCCCTCCCCCTAGAGCCGCCCCCCGCCCCCCGAGGACCAGTCCACTTGTTTGACATTATTAAAACGTCTGTGGAACTGCGTGGCGCCCTGCACAGGACGCCCTGCAACTCTCCATGGAGAAGCCAAGGGACAAGGTGCCTCTGAGCCAGAGCCCCGGAGCTGCAACCAGGCCCAGGCCCACGCCCACCCCCACCGCCTGCTCCTCCCACCCCTCCTCCCGGCCTGGTCACAGGGCCCTTCAGGATGGCCGGCAGCGCTCCCCGGACTTGCCCCCGGGGCTGGGCTCGGGGCCAGGCCGCAGCTGCCGCAGGGTCTCCTGCAGGGAGAACAGGCAGAAGGCAATCTCCTCGTAGGAGACCTTGGCCCCACTCTCGTACAGGCAGGCGAAGGTCAGGGCACCCTGGGGAGTAGGCCCAATGGACGCCAGGTCAGAGTAGCCGCTGGGGCCCTCGTAAATCACCCAGGGCTCCGTCCAGCTGTTGGGGTCCAGGGGGGACCTGCTCAGGCGAACACCCATGTGGAGCCGAGCTCTGCGCCCCGTCGGGTGGGAGTACAGCAGCCACGTGGGGCTCTGCGATGAAGCGGCAGGGGGCCCGAGGAACGCCATGTTCCCACTGAGCCCAGGCCCTGGGCCAGGGTCCCCGGGGCTGCTGCCACATCCCTCTGTCCCACCTAGCACCCCACCCCCTTGGGTATCTCCAACACCCTCCTCCGGGGGTTCCTGGACTCCAGGACAGAGGCTTGAAAAGATGGGGACCTTCCTGGAGCCCACTGACCACCCCTCATCTGGAAGCTGGCTGGTGGGCGGGGCCGGGAAGCCCACGATGCTGCCCTGGCAGCCCCGGGCAGTCTCAGCCAGGGCGGGCACCAGTTCCCCAGGGAGGAAGGAGGCACCCTCGTCTTCGCTGACCGCCTGCACGCGGCTCCCCAGCGGGCTCCGGGCATTGCAGTAGAGGACACTGCCGGCCTGCCCGCCGTCCACCACAGCCAGCTGGCACTCGCCGGAGCGCAGGTTGGGCACGAGGCCTCCGTGGTGCCAGGTCTGGCCGTGGTCGTCGCTGTAGAAGGCAAAGGCGTGGGGACTGGTCCTGCAGACCTTGCCAAAGCACTCGCGCCGGTCCACGCGGTAGGTGTAGGCCGGCACCAGCAGGCGGCCCGAGGGCAGCTGGATGCCGTGGCCCGGGCCCACGGCAAACGTGGCCCAGTCTGCGGACAGGAGGGGCTGCAGGTTACCCCGGGAGGGAAGAGCCATGGCTGTGGGGGATGGGCAGGACAGGGGGACCAGGCCCTGGGCTAGGGAACAGCTTGTGAGGAAGCCCCCTGCTGACCGCTCCACCCTCCACTTCTCTGGGCCACCTGGAGCCTCCCAGGCTGGACCAGCCTCCCAGGCCATTAGGAGCGGGGAGTCAGGCAGGCCACTTGCACGTAGCAGGCGGCCAATTTCTGAACCCAGGTGGGCAGCCACCAACAGTGCCTGGGCGCGCTGTCCTGACAGGGTAGCCACGAGGTGTTAGAGCTTCAGGGTTGGGTCTGAGCAGCGCCCCCTGGTGCTGGGGTCAGTCCCCTGGAGTCCGGCCCACACCAGTAGAGCTCCGTCCAGATCTGAGCCTGCCACGCCCCAGTCTCCTCCTCCTGCCAGGGTGGGGTGGCCCCTGAGTGAGTGGGTGAGTGGGCAGGCCCTTGGGGCCGGGGCAGTGGGGAGGCAAAGCTCTGAGGCCCGGCTCACACGCTGCAACCCCGCCTTCCGCGGGTGAGAAGGGGTAGGCGGAAGTGGTTAAGGAGGTGAGGCCTTGGGGTTTGGGGGCTCAGATTACAAGACAGTGCGGGAAGATGGACCAGCCTGTCCCTCCCACCAGCCCGGGCCTTACCCACACCCTCTGGCGGGGCTGATGGGTTCCCGGGATGCGTCAGCCTTGCAAAGGGAGTCGGTGCCCCTTCGGCCGGGCCGGGGCGAGGTGGGCAGCCCAGGACCCTGGAGCCAGACCC